TGCTGAGAGAGACAAGCTTTTGAGCTTACACAGAACCGAAGAGCTCTGTGTAGCTTGAATGCTGTCTCTTTCACCAACAGAAATGGGTCCAATAAAAGCTATTACCTCACACTCCTTGTCTCACTGGAAATCAAATCATTTCCCATTATTATTTAGATAACACCGCTCTCCCTATTTTAGGTGATTCATGTAACCGCAAGTTCAAGAAACGTGCTCTCCTAGTTGGCGTCTTCGTAGTTTTGATCACTATCATCATTGTTCTGGCTGGTGAGTTCCCAGCCCTCAGTCTCTGCACCTCCTGTTTTGCCCTGGAGCGATCACAGTCACATATTCACACCTCCCCAGCCTCCAACTTCCGCTCCTTCCCTCTTACTACTTCATCACTGGCTCTTTAGATCAGCTCTCTAGTGTTACCCATGGGTGACCATCCCTGTGCCGCCTCTGCAATGAAAGGATTGTATTTCGAGCACACACCCCCGGGAATGCAGGAAATTGGCGCCTATGGTAGAGGGGGCCAGAGGTTTACCATAAACAGGGTCTGGAATCGCTGTGACAATCAGTAACATGAAATGGCATCTGGGTGTCACAGGGCAACTGGTCCCTTTAAGGGGAGATGGGGCCAGCCTCACTCGTGCCATAGTTAATTAGCTGCTTCCTAGCCTGAGGGAGGGTCAAGTGAGAGCTTAATCACCTGGGCCTTATAAAGAGACTGAGAGCTGGAACCACAGGGACCAGGCAGGCAGGCTCCCTTGGAAGGCCTTGAGCAAGGGTCTGTAAGGAAAAGGGCTGGGAACTGGGTGGAGAGGGTGAACTGATGGGAAGTCCTGAGGTTTGGCAGGACATCTTTGTTTGTTTGGGACTTCTTAATTTGGACCCTTGGCAACCTGGAAGGGGATACATTTGTTGTGGACTTGAATGGAGGGCGAAGCTACATCTGCAGCACAGAGCAGTGGCTGGGAAGCTGAGGAGACCAACCTTGGAGAGGGAAACTGAGGCCTGGAACAGCAGCTGCACTATCCTTGGTTTAATGGGGGTCTCTGGTTCTGAGAACATTTATTGCCCCTTACCCCCCTCCTAGACAGAGAGGGAGAGAATCTCTGACCCTTTTTGACTTTCTCATTTTCAGGAGTAAAGTCTAACCCACCTTCAGTTGGCCCTGATCCTCCAGTTGCTGCCCGCTGCTGCCCGGACGGCTGGGTCGGTTATGGAGGGAAATGTTACTATTTCTCCGAGGCCGAAGGGACCTGGAACAAGAGCCAGAGCAACTGCTCCTCCTCCGGTGCCTCCCTGGCTGCGATCGACACCCCGCAGGAAATGGTGAGAGACCCTTTCAGACTTTAAAGCAGTAGTCCCCAGACTTTTGAGTGGTGTGCCTCCCCCCTTACTCCTGACCGTGCCCCCCTGTTGCCCCCCCGGAGGTGGGTTTGATCTCCCCCGTGCTGCTGTTAGCTCCCCAGCCCGAGGCTCCGAGCTGCTAGTCCCGGGTTGGCTGGGGAGGGACAGGACTTGCTCTTCCCCTGCACAGCTGCTTGCGGGCGGGAGTTGACGGGGGAGATCAGACCTACCTCTGGGTACCTCCCCCAGCTGCCGGGTGCTCCCAGCAGCACGGGGGAGATCAGATCCACCTCCACCTCTGGCAACCTCTTACGGCTGCAGGAAGCCCTGGAGCTTCCGCCCAGCCCTGGAGCTTCCTGCAACTGGAGGAGGTACCCGGAGGGGGTCTGGTCTCCCCTGAGAGCAGCTGTGCAAGGGAGGAATAAGTTCTGTCCCTCCCCATCCCGGTGATTAGCAGCTGGAGATGGAGACACGGTAGTAGCCCCCAGCTTGGGCGCCCCCAGCCCTGCCCCTCCCCCCACATAGCTAGATTTCACAGAGGAGGTCTGATTTTATGGTCCGTGATGCGTTTTTCACGGCCGTGAATTTGGTAAGGCCCCAGCCGCAACCTTAACAAGGCAGGCTTTGCTGTCGCTGGCAGCTAGAACAGCCCTGCAGACTGCACGAGGCCCCATCAGCAGCACAGAGAGACTTGAATGCAGGTTGTGATGAATAATATCTTTCACTTCCTCTTTTGGAAAGGCTTTCATCAAGCGCCATAAAGACCTCTCTGAGCACTGGATCGGCCTCCGGAGGGAACCGGGCCAGCCCTGGAAATGGACCAACGGCACCGAATTCAATCACTGGTGAGTTCTCTTTCTTGTCAATGGGGGGGCCCTATCAGGGAAGTTGGCTTGGCTATAAATGTGACTGGTTAGCTGATGGGGCTGAGGCCAGGGATCACAAGAGAGGATCAGGTGACTTGCAGGCTTAGCTCAAAGGCCAGCCAGCTGCTCCGCTGAGATCTGCAGGGAGCAGGTAGGGGCTGGCTGGAGGCAGGGCCCAGTTTAGTTCTTTGCTTTATGTTGAACTGTTTCGAGGAGTAAAACATATCCCTGAGGAAACGGACAGAACTGCTGTTGTGATAGCTCTGAGACAAGCCTTAATAGCTCCGCTGATTACAGCTGGACTTAACCCAACCCTACTAAGGCCGTTTTCAGCATCCACACGTAACTGTTTTGCTGCTGACCATTTTAACAGAAGCATCAAGCCAGCAGACTTCCCCATCGCCACTGGATGAAGTCCCAGACCCTGGGGCAGATAGTTGCTATCACGGATTGCTGGCGTTGTGAAAGAAGAATTCAACCCCCTTCCCCAAATTTAGTCCTCTCCTTCATGTCCCCAAAATGGGGAGAGACAAAGGTGATGCATCCCCTTCCCGGTGACAAACGTTTCAACTGCTTATTGGGTCCCAAAACTCGGTATTTTCCTAGATAAGAAACGCCCCAGCTGTCCCTACCCTAGCTGCTTAAACTTCCCAGTTTCCCTTGACAATTGTGTTTGGAACTTTGCACCAAAATTTTGCATCACACTGAAATTAAAAATTGGAGAGCAGCGTTTAATATGAACCATAACCAGGGATGTTGGACTAACTGGACTATACAAAAGGGGACAGTGGTACATAATGTAGAGGCCGTTGCCGCTTGCTTTCTGTCCGCTGTGCTGCATAGAATACGAAGCCTTGACTTTAATTCCGTGGTGCTTGCAATGCAGGTTTGAAGTCAGAGCACAGGGTGAGTGCGCATATCTGAACGATGAAGCCGTCACCTCTTCTTGGTGCGACACGTTGCGATACTGGATCTGCAGCAAGCCTGCCAGACTCACGCCAAGAGAGGAGAATGGAGCGCAAGGGCAAGCGGAGACGTCAGAGCTCACCTGAAGTGGCTACTGTATGCACAGGGACACACGCACCCCCTCCCCGACTTTTCTACCCAACGTATTTGTATCAATTTAGATCGAACTTGACACATTTTTTTTAAAATGCACTTTATGTTTTTAAGGCAGCAGGGGGGTGGGGGCGGTAGTGACGTGCTGTATCTTGTTTCTGGGCAAGTGAAGGTGGTCCAGAGCCTCTCAGCATCTGCTTTTTCCTCAGTGGTACCAAGATTTCAGCAAATTCTGAAGCACCAGACAGACTCTCAACTCCATGTCCTTGCGGTCTGCGAGCTGTCAGAGGGAAAACTGTTGCAGCGGGGATTCTCTGTCCAGCTCATAGGCGCCAACTCCATGGGTGCTCTGGGGCTGAAGCACCCGCGGGGAAAAAAATAGGGGGTGCTCAGCACCCGCCAGCCACAGTGGCTCCACAGCTCCCTGGCTGGCTGCGGATCAGCTGTTCCAGAACCTTATGGCACCTATTTGGGTATAAGCTTTCGTGGGCTGGAACCCACTTTATCAGATACACTTGACAACATTTTTTAAAAAAATGTTTTTTTTATCTGTTTGGTTTTTGTCTGGTTTTCTTTCTTTTTTTTTTTTTCTTCTTCTTGCATTCTTCCCTCTACCACAGTCTCTGTCTTTGTCCATTCTCTGCCAGCTCCACCTGCTGCGCAGGATTCCATGCTACCGATCTGCTTCCTTTGCAAACTTTCCTCCTCCGCTGTCAGGCCCTGTTACATGGAAAGTGAGAGTCTGGATCTTCCCACCTGGCCCAATAAAGAATCATGTGGCCTTATTCTCCTCTGCTTTGGGAAGATGGGACTGTTGCAGTCCAGGGCAACTGCAACTATATTCCTCCCCTGTGGTCCCTCGAGGACACGCATTCTAGGCTCCTGGCTCCTTAGCCATCACCTCTCTTGGGCAGAACCCCACGTCTCCCTCCCTCCCAACCAGGGTTTTTCCAGTTCCCTGCCTTCCAGTGTGACATTCCCCCAGCAAGCCAGATGGCCTAAACAGGCTAATGTCTGCACTGTGGTGTCGCTCCAAAGGCTAGGAACAGCTGTAATTGCCAGCAGTTATAAGTTACCCCACAGCCCTTTATAAGCAAGCATTTATTCTTACAGTGAAAGCACTACAAAGAAAAGAGGCGGAGTGAAGGTAGGGCACTGGGGGCTGGGATGGGAGAGGTGGAGCGAGGGTGGGGCCTTGGGGCGGAGATGGAGCACCCCCCCTCCCCAGAAAAATAAAATCACATCTCTACAAAATCTTTGCATAGATTTTTAGATGCACAATCTGAGTATTCATCTTTAGCCTTAAATGCTTGGATTTTCAGACATACCATTTTTTAAATACATCCTTCAAAAGACCCTCCTTATCTAAAATACACATGCGAGCCCGGGCTGCTGTTGGGCATAGGGGCACCAGTTTAATAATACTGCGTAGGGCCCCATAAATCCTAAGGACGGCCCTGAAAGGGAGAGTAAATCAGGCTAACAATGAAATCTGAATTCAGCTGCAAATTGACCTTCGAGCGATTGCTGTAGCAGCGTAATGGGTCAGCCTCAAGCAGGCCTGTCTCTGGGTCTTTGCTGTTCCAGATCCTCTTGTAGTTTCCCTTCACTGGACGCTTCTCCTGATCCCTCTGGGTTTCCATGGCCTTTCAGGGGCTTTCAGGGTTTCTCCCCCACCTTTCTGTGAGGCCCTGGGGAGTGAGGCCTGGGCTCCTCTGGGGCTGAGTCAGCACAGTTGGTTGTAATCAGCTGCAGAGACTCGGACCCAGAATTTTTCCCCTTTCCCAGCTTCTTCCACTCCTGGAATTCCAGATAGACCAGTCTGGGGTTAGTGTGCTAAGCCTGGGATTCCTCTTTTCATCCACTGCTCCCCTTACCAATGCACACATCCAGACTGGCTCTCAGTAACCTCATCATCTTCCATTTCATTAGCCCCCTTACTCTCCCTAAAGATCCCCACGCGCCTTAGAAACAAACTGAAGACCGAGCTCACTGGGCTGTGCAGAGAGGTGGTCGCATTCCACTGAGTGGAGTGGAACAAAACAGCAGCTGCGCCAGCAACATGAGTCAGCAGTTTTGGAAAAGGCAGAAAGGAAACTCCTGTGTCCCGCAGATACTTTCACTCGACGTTGAACGAGTGAGACAGGAACTTGGGCTGGGGTTTGGTCAGGAGAACAAGGCTAACGTTCCTGCTCCTGGGAAAACGGCGTTTATATGTGTCGGTGTGTCTAGATACTGACCACGGACGCGCTATTAAGCCATTAGTACAACAGCCCCCAGATATGCATCTTATGTTAGCCCACCACACCGCTGTTTTATCATCATATTACTTCAGAAACAATATGAAGCTCCGGAGAATCATAGACACGTAGGGCTGGAAACAAAAAAGGTCAGATCAGCCTCAAGACTGGATCTAGGCTGGAATTTTCCTGGGAAATGTGGAGTGATTTGAACACGGGGTCACTGATTTACAACCTAAATATACAGGCATTTTTCACAATCCCGAAAGTCTTCCAAGCCAGGCTTTGCAGAGGCACCCAAGGGAGTGATCTTGCCCAAATAATTTAATTCCCTTGGGTGCCCCTGCAAAGGGCTCAGGCCGTATCCAAAAGGCAGGAGGCCATGAGACCTAGGGCTAGATGATGACCTCCTGAGGTCTCGTCCAGCCCTAATCGTCTATGATGCTACGTGGGATGGCAGTTTGTCATGTCCCACCGGGCACACGCTGCTCTGTAGTGGAGTATTGGCATTAACAGGCAGTTAATGAGGCCGTTGGCTTTGCAGCAGGGCCGGCCTGGGCTGCTGGTGACCTGTCTGCCCCCGGGCTCTTTCCCTGAGATCTGCAACTAGCGGTGACTTTCCATAGGCGCTGGGCTGGCTCCTGTGGGTGCCAGGTTGGACGATGGGAGCGGGAGGGTGTCAGGAGCGGGGCAGGGCCCACAAGAGCGCAGCCAGCCCCGCGGGGAGAGGCAGGAGCCCTGCCCCGGCAGTGCCTCCTACGGCCGCTAGGTGTCCCCGCGCTGCAGCGCCCCGGCCGGCGGGCGAGGCCCCTGGTAAACAGCCGAGGCCAGGCTGGAGCCGAGCGGGGTGGAGGGCGCGGGCTGCAGCCGGAGCTCGGTAGAGCCGGGTCCTGCGGGGGCGGGGCGCCGGGAGGGGGCCGGGCTGAGCGCGGGAGGGGCCGGAAGCGAAGCGGGGCGCGCAGCCCAGCGGCCCTCAACCCGCTCCAGGGCAGCTCTGGGCTCGCTGCAGCCAGCCCGGTCCGTCCGCCCCTTCCCCCCACCTAGCTCAGGGGGGTGCACAGCTGCGGCCCGCGGGATCTCCCCGCCCCCAGCCAGCTCCGGGACAGCTGGGATGGTGCGCTGGTGAGGAGGGGGGGACCTGTGTCTGTACAGGGCTCTGGGTGTGATCTGCTCTCTGTGCAGACATGTGTGTGTGTGTGTATGGGTGAGTGGTGC